CAAAAGATAAGCTGAGAGAAGAACAGAAAACGAGAAATTGAATAATCAGATAATATAAGAATTTACAAAAATTTAAAAAAAAGTCAGACTAGCGAAAGAAATAACGAACGTACGATTTTAAAGTAAATTTTGAAAAAGGGGCCATTTGGGCGCCGCTTGGTACGTTTAGTGTTAACAAATGGAAATTAATGCCGCCAGTTTCGACCTTCCGTTTCAGCTTTGTATCCGCGAAGTGTTATTTATATTCTGAAAGTATATAATAATACGCTTTGGGACGGCACGTGTTGCACACAACGACAGGTACGATCGTTTCGGGCTATTTTCGATCGGCGTCCGAGCAATTCGTACTCGTTCGACACAGTGCAACACTGTTCTTTTAGTGCCTTGATCCTTCTCACATCTCGCGGAGATCGTAGGAGTTTGTGCACGATGCATAGCTAAAAATTGTCAATATGTCTTTGAAAATTGTGGAAACGATCTATTCTTACACGTTGGTACATCAAAGTTTTTTTTTATTGTAGACTGTGGCAACTTTGGCGATGCATTCTGCACGTTAACAAAAAGAACTATCAACGATTGATGTGTGTAAAATTTGAGAAATAACCAAGTGCAACGAATAGGAAGGAGTTTATAATATTAGATCGATGCATGTAAAATGTCATTTGGTAAATCAATCTTAAAGTGCGCGTAATGTTTTCGAAAAAAAAAAAAAAAAAAAACATTGCTCGATCGAAGTAATTTTCATGTCGATAATCATTGTCTATAGAATCTAAGAAATTTTGGAATAAAGTTGTAATTTTTTCATTCGTAAACATTTTTTTTAGATAATTCTTCTTTTTATGCAATAATTAAATTATCATATTCTGATTGCACATTAACGAAATTTAGTAATTTTATTATAAATCGTTTTAATGTCGAACTTACGTGATTTACAGTAAATTGGCGATCGATAGTAAAACAATATTGTCTAGATGGTACTTTAAATTTCGACGGAACAAAATTTCGCATGCATCGATCTAATACGATAAAATTTCTATTTATATATTTTCTTAGAAATCATTCAGATCTTTGAGAATGCACTATCATATAAATCCGTGATCAATTTCCTTGCGAGATCGTTGTATTTTGGCCATTCTAGTAGTGAACGATAGTGACGTTCTGTTTCGATCTCGGAATTCGATTTCAATGATTTTTTTTTTTTTTAAACATCGATAAATGTATCTTGTACGAGAAAAAGACGACGTGAAAAGACACAATCGATCGAAAAGACAATAACCGATGCACGGTAGTTATTGCCATTTTTGTAGAAATGTAAAATCAGATGTGTGTTTCACCAAGAATATGACACGAGCGAGCCACGGAAGATTGCTGAATTTTACCTAAGCTTCGTCCATGTATCATCGTTTTTTTTTTCTTTTTTTTTT